TTTTATCCCTAAATTTCCAATCCGATACATGTTCTTCCATGACATTCCAGACCGAAAAATGACTGAATACTATCTTACTTATCTTTGTTACTTGTTTTTTGTTATAAATTTAGATAATTAAATCCTACCTCATTTGCTAGTTTCAGACTTCCAATTTAACTATGTTGTACCTAATCTCATAACCTATCTACAGAAAATTGTCTCCACCCACCAATCCAATTCTGTGATCTGTTTTAGCTATATCGTATCAATACAAATAATTATATATAATTGTGTCTATATACCTAAGTAACTATATTTATTGAAAATATTATAGATTATACATATTATTATATTTATTAAAAACATAAAATATAAACATTACTAGACGTAGTAGGTAATTAACGGTATTAAAGTACTAAGAGAAAAATATAAACTATTATTTATTAGATACCTACACTTCGATCGTGTCTTTAAAAATCATTGTATAACTGCCCGAATCAGACGTCAATTAAATTTATTGCTTGCCGAACTATGATTTTGTCTCAATTGATTGCTCAGGGCCGTATCTAGGGGGGGGGGGGGCAATATGGAGCAAAGTCCTACCTCAAAATACCATTGCCCTACCTTAAATTGGGGGTGCAGGCTGCGAAGTGTGGCACGTTGGCATAAGCTCTACCGCTGCCCGATCTTAAATTCAACTCTGGCTACGGCTCTGCAATTGTTTACAAAGAGAACGACAGCATCAACTGTAAATCCAAAAAAAATAAAAATAAAATGATGCGAAACATCAAAAAAGTAATAAACAGACGCATTTTAAACCCGTTTAAGTGTGTTGCATATTAAGATTATGCGTAAAAACTTAAGATACAAATATGATAATCCATCTTAAAAATTAATTGACGTCTGTGACGTATCCCGTAAGTCCAGCATTTATAAGTAGCTCGTCTGTAATATTGTTTGATCCAGTGGTCGCTTGAATTTAATGTCAATTAAAGATGTATTTGAAATGACTATAATTACATTACTAACTTAAATGTATATTCCTCAAAATTTGTTTGTTCGATGTTAATAAATAAGTATAAATTTAGTTAAAATACCATCTTAATACAAAAGCAGCTTATAGTGAAAGCTGTTTAGGGAAGCTCTTAAGTTGTTTTATCAATATTCAAGATCAATTAGAGATGATACCACACTTTAACATTTTTCAATTTGATTGAAATTTAATAGACATTTCTTAAAGCGGATTTTAGTCAATTTAAGGGTCAGGATTCACAGACAAAGGCGTCCTGCGGCCGCGGCCGGCACATATTGGTCACTCGTGTTTGAACACTCACTTAGGCCCGTATTACAGAATGACAACTATGTGTTGATCTTTACTTGAGTGCAGTTAGAAAGGGATGTCGCAATGTGCTATATATAGCGACATCCTTTTCTAACTATGCTCAAGAGTAGAACAAACACTGAGAATCTTTCTGTAATACGGGCCTTACATTGCAAGCGAATATAACTGACGGCGACCCCGGCCGCGGTCGCAGGTCGCCTCCGTCTGTCAGACAGATAATTGTATTCTATCACAGCCAAATATACTTTTATGTCACAATAATTTATTGCAGATTTACTGACATTTTAATAAAAGAAGCCATGGACGTTGAAGTAATTATATCAAACAAGGTAGTTCAAATAGTTTGATCAAATTGGCATGAATGTGGGAAAATTTGATCAAATTGAGTTGTCAATTAGCATGAAGAAATATTAATTTTCACATTTCTATTTGATCAGACTAAATAGTCTATCAAACTAACAAAAAAAAAACTGAGGCTATCAAATGATAGCCTATTTGAGCCTATCACTTGAACGTCTTTGTCAACCATAAAATAGCGCAGGTTATTACGTCTTCAAAAATGTGATATATTAACGACACTATAAAATGTAAAATATCATCAATTAAAAATGTCAATTTAGCAAGTAGGTAACCCTGTAACATTAGTAAACTGTGTCCAACAAATATGTAGACCAGGAGTCTAACGTCTTACTTTCTCTTTCTCCTTCAAAGCTGAAATGAAAAGGCAATGAGAAAAAAATATGAATAGGTATTGTTATTTTAAGAATAATACTGCTAGATTTATCCGCCCGCATAGCGATAGGTGCCGGTTTGGATACTGTCTGATGCCTAGATCGGGTGATTTTTTTCTTGTAAAATTATCTTTATTTAATGAGTAAAAATTGCAATGTGACATTAAACATCTTTTTGAAATTTAAAGGCATGGCGCATGCAAAAAAGTTCACGATTCCGCCCCGGACATAAACTGACAATATACTGACGGCCTTGCCTAATTAAAAAAAAGTTTTATGCTTTTGGCTGCTGTTCACAAAATATGGAAAACATGACGACACTCGTATAATCTGAGTGTTTCCGCTACTCGGTGACCTATCTAATGGTGGGTACACCACGATCGAACGAAAGATTGGGTTTCGCTAAGCGTTTGTCGTTTGGACCCGTCAGCTAAACATTACAAAATTCAAGCTAACATTTTCAATTTCAATTCTCAAATCAAAATTTAAATTACTACTGATGGCGATGAACATCAGTATGTGACCAGGGCCGTAGCTAGAGAGGGCACTATGGGGCACGTCCCTGCTTATGCTGGCCTATCTTAAATACAATTCTAGCTACGGCCTTGTGCAAACTAGTTCAAGATTTTCTTTACAACGAGTCAATATAATTAAGGTTGAATATCGGAAAAAAAATAGATTTTTCTGTAAGAACAGCTGTTGTAAACTTTAATATGAATTAAAAAAAAACGCTGTAGGTACACAAATAAATCAGGCTACAAAAATTTACTATGCACCCTTTCACATTTATATTCGTACCAACTGGTAAAGGCTGAAATATCGGTCGAGAAAATCTGCACTTATTGAAATGTCAAATCAAGACACACTGACGACTTCTTTTTTTTAAACTAATCTCTGAATCACTTATTAGGTTCGTGTCGTGTAGGTAATTTTTTAAAGCTAATCTAGTTAGACTAGCCTAGTGACTCTAGACAGAAACTATATAGAAAGTCGATTAGTTTAAGCTTAGCGAAACCCACACCCCCAATTTTCATCTATTCTTTTCGTTTCAACTTGTCTATGATTGGTTGAGAGATTACAGCTGACCCTCAATTCACGCAAGATAAAGCAGAAAGTTGTCTGTACTTAAAAATTTGGAGAAGCTTGAAGAGATGCTTATCCAACCAAGCATGTCCAACCGCTTCAATGGAAATGTACTCATGTGATTTGGACACGTAGGAAATATAGTGCATGAATACCGTAGGTAAACCATGCGTGCCGCAGTGATAACAATTTTGACATCTAATATACAATAATATACGTTAAAGCACTTCATTTTCTCTGCAATAGTATTCTTTTTATAATACCATTAGGTACATTAAAAACTCGCTGTTTTTTTAAAGACTGCCTTTTAGACATTACTGTGAAAGTTTAATCTTTAAAATGTACTTCAGTTGAAACTTACATTGTCAATCAGTAGTGTTAGATACTAACGTTTTAAATGCTTCGTTAGTGTTTAAGTAAACAAATAGTTATTTGTACCTGTAATCTACGTAGTAGAATCATCTATCCTTCGACTGTTATTATTCTGGAATATTTAACTCGTGCATGTGTGAAATTGTTTTGAGCTCATTTGTAAAACGACCATTATTGTATTGAAATCATTTGTTAAAAATTTTATACTTGTTATAGGTAGCGGCAAAATTCTTAAGCAAAACCACAGACAAATAAACTTGCACAGTATGCTTTTGTATGTAAAATTGCTTCTGAGCAGGATTCTTTGTCTATCGTTATGCTCAAGAAGTTTTCCGGGGTGTAAACTAGTGTACTGCATAATTCTCAACTATAATGTGTTTTATATCTTGCGCAGTATTAAGGTCAAAGCCCATTTTACTGGTACCGTTCAACCTTGTCATTCAAATAATAGCGGTATTATTGTTCTATATTTTAATTTATTCTTCTTGCAATCTGCCTTATTACTTGGCAATATAAAGTACTACAGGATATATAGGTAAGTTCGCCTAATGGCCGAACTACACTTATTTGTCGTGCTGGGTTGTGGCGCATCAGAGAGCTAGTTCATACGTTTTGTATGGTTTGGGTGAGAGCGCTGTCGACACATCGCGAGTCGTAATCGATAGCAACACACAAGTATAGTTCTAACCGAACTAAATGTATGAAACCGATCTCGTCTGATCGCGTCACAACACAACTGATAAGTAAATTTCTGCCATAAGATCGGATAAGACAATATGGCGGGTAGTCAGAGCACTTCCTGCTACACTTCATGATGAAGGAATTATATTTCCTTGTACGGAACTAGTTTCGATGGAGGAATTCTTCTTTTGTACGAAACCGTGTTGGTCTATCATGGTTACGTATAAAGGTAATCGTTGTTGTGGCTTCGAAGAAAGAAATATTTTTCTTTGTACTTGACTTGGTATTTGCTATGGTGCCACGTATTGCGTGTTCCGTGCGATCCATATGCATTTTGTTTTGTAATTGACCCCAGTCCGTATATAATAACAAACACCATAAATCCTGAAAGCAAAATTCAAGGCGGTACTGTGCTACAACTCTGCCATTACGGTGCCGGTAAAATGTGCCATGACCCTTAAACATGTATCCAGTTTGTTGATGATCGATGTTTTTCGTATGTTAACGATTTGTTTGAAACAGTTAAATTTGACTATTAATTAATCTCACGTCAACTACATAGTAAAATGGTGTCAAATGCTTATTTTACTGAGATACTTCAATTATAGTCACATTTAACTATATATCAAACAACAGGTCCTTAGTATTTAGGTGTTCAATGAATCTATACATGGCTCAACCCCAGGTAGAGTCTAAACATTATGTGGAAGAAAATATATTGTTAATTCTGTAAGTTACGACAAATGATGTTAAATAAAGTGTAAAAATGTCAAAGTTGTCTTTTACTTGAAATGAAACCACTCTGCTATCATTGTTTAGTATCATTTATTAATTTATAATTAAAGTGCATGTTACATCGAGTAGGTATATCAACTCAATTGGAGACAAAATAACAGTTGCCCGTCTGTTTCTGTTAACCGTTTCGCAAAGAAAGGAAGTTTGTAAAAGAGGAATATTGAGATCCATAGTATCACAATGAGAGGTCACAAATTCCAAGTCATTGTGGTGTCCTATTTTTAATAATATATATTTATCGACATATTTTGTCTCCACTTGATACACTTTTTCACGCCCAATCGTACAAGATCTCAGTTCTAACTCACTTAATAATAAATTGCGGGGGGTCTCATGACAACTGCCATTAGCCACTATGGAAGCATCAGAATGAATTGTATATTGTTACATGCGTCACTCAACAGGTTTTGTATACAAAAATACCACCCCAAAGTGTGAACGGCAAACAGTGTTACATCGTCCTCAGTGAGGTGAACTATAATGCCACGAGACACCGCCAGTTACAAACGAAACAAAATAAATGAAAAGATAACAGTTTAAATGAACACTGTCTCATATTTACAATTAGTTTACTTTTTATGCGATACACAATATGTACCGATATTCTGGGGAGAGCACTGCTCGTGGGTAATTTTATGTACATTTTTCTATATAATCATACCTCTGACAAACCGATTCAAACCAAAATAGAATCTATAATATCTATTATGCTGTCCGCGCGCAACGCTCCCCCGAGAAACGGGAATCAGATTCACCTTAACTAACTTTTTTTTTATCATTTTCTCTTTTTTTGTTACAGAAAAACTACTTATAGTAAATCAGTAAATTTTAATGAACAATATTAGCCAATATTACACACCGCTCCCTCGCCCCCGACCGGTGAGTGTTTCAGCTTTTTATACAGTTATATACATCAAAAAGTAGAAGCACTCGCACAGTCGACGAGTGTGAGCCGCCGTTAAATCGTGAAATTTTCAGCTAATAATAAAACTAACATCGAAAAAACTATATTAATCATCGAGAGTAGCATAAACTATAGAACGGAACGATTAGGACATGTCACAATGTTAAATATACGTTATGTTTTAATCTTTTATATTCTTATTAAAATGCATTTTTTTTCTCAAACTATAAATGGACCCTAATTTATATTTATTACAAATCAAAAAAGAATTTACGAGAGGATATTATAATATACAATACAATTAAATAATATGACGATCAACGATCAAAAGTTAGTGACCGAAGTTGGTGGCGCCATCCATAAATAGCGAATGCAGGTAGTTAGTTCCGTACGCTGATAATATAATAAGTTCCAGTTGCGCACGTGAACACGCAGTTTACGGATCGCGCGGGCCGACGACCGCCGACGGGGCCCGGCGGCAGCCGACGCCAGCCGACAACCACTACGACGATTAACCTAAAGGCCTCTGTTATAGAAAAAAAAAGCTAGTCCGTTTTAGCGACGCGTTCGACGCACGTTGAGAGCTTGCAATACAGTAGTCGACACACTCCGGCCGTCTCACTCACACACACACACTGACGCTATCGTGCTCTCTTCTTCGCCGGAGCACCCGTAGCGGCCGAACGTCGTAATCTCTTTCACTGTGGATAAACAATACATCTCGTTAAAACATGTTAACATATAGAAATAAGTTTATTCGACATTACTGCGTGCCTAGTAGAGTCATAGCAATTTTCTAAAACGATGATTGTAATTTTATTAGCACAGCGTTGCTACTGATTTCACACTGCAGTCAAATTATGCATATATTTTGCATAGTAAACTAGACAGTCATATTATTAGAAAATGTCCAAAACTCTTGCTAGAAACTTTGATAAAACCAATTCTATGTTATTACGTGGTTTCTAAACTACGGTGGACTAATGTATTACTCAAATCTTTTATATTTAGGGTTTCTAAATGTATGAGAACAAAGGCGAATTTACTTTTTACCCATATAAAAAATAATTACCGTAAATATTTGCTATTTTCCGTGTGGCATAGCAATAGATAAATAACGTACTTGGAGGTTTTTATTTAATTTATATAAAATTAACAATGCCACATTACAAATTCTAATTGCAGCTTACTTTAATTGTTATTTTTAATAGTTAAACTACGCTCATTTTATAATTTATACAATTTTTTGCCAACTCATTATCATGGTATTTAAATAAGATATTATCTTTACATAATCACCACTTCGATTTTACTGAGATTTAAAATAGTGTAAAAGAGTTTTCAATAAGACATGAGTATAATAAATTTAAGATATATAACATATTAACAAAATCTATATGATGAAAAATAATTCTATTAATTATCCAAATCACAAGTATATTTTCCTTGTTTCGAAATTTTATTGAAATATTTAACATTTTACACTGTACAGTATTAATATAACTTTATGAAATCAAGGATGAATTACTTTATTATGTAAGCCACATTTTATTTGGATGTTTAATGCATATTATTTTCCAATAAAAATGGAAACTGGATGACGAACCATAGTAGATTTTCTCATAATGGTAATTTATTTACCGCTTAATTTATATAAATACTTCCAAAAAATCCATTACAAATAACTCGGGTTATTTTATAAACAGAAATAAACTCCTTTATGTCAATAACATTGTTTTTATACCCTTAAGTAATAAAAATTTACAGAACACACAAACACATTCACACACACACGCAAACACACATAAATCATTCTGTTACATCTAGTTTATGATGAACGCAATAATTTTATTACAAATAATAATCTAGTCTTCTCATTGTGACACTCTAGCTTAAATGTAGCCTTTTCAAAATGTATTAAGTTAGTAAATTTTGGTATATATTTTATTTAATTTTATCATTTCCCATCCTAGTAACAATTAGTGTGGTCCAAATAACTTTACTACCCCCCTTGTTCTATGACTGTCGGATAGAAAGAGCTGGAATTACAAAAAAAAACAACAACATTAGTATTCGCTTTTAAAAATTGTCTGTTGTGAAAGTACTTTGATCGTAACTATGAAGCTTTTAATTAAGTATTCTCTATTTTCTCAACTAATATTGGCTGAAAAGCATACAATGCCACACTGTGAAGTAGGCCGAATTATTAATCTTATAGAAAACAAATCATTGCTGCATCCCGCTTAAGTTAGGTGCTATAGCGTGCGAGTCAATAGTTTGATATTAATTAACCAACAGAAAAAAGTAAAAATTGTATTTGAAATGCATCTATCTGTTAAAGACTGCAGATGTTATTTTTCCTATAAAATAAATATGTATCCAAATAAATAATATTTCCTTTTCACTGCTCATTACATAAAAAAAATACAGTCTTAGAAATGCATTCCTATACAATATTGTGAGAATTGATCACTTTACCTAACCCACTGTGACGTTACGTAGATTAGATATAATTAACAATCTCAAACACTGTTCTGTTAGAGAAAAAAAAACAGAAAATCGTGATTTCAATGGTATTATGATGAAGCATTCTGTTACGAAATATGGGGTGATATAGACTTATGCCGACAGACACCACGCGTGGTCACAAATTAACATCCGAAAATTTCAATAAATCTCTTCTATTTTCAGCAAAATCTTGTTCATGGTAGATGGTATTTCTAAAATTTGACTATTACCAAAGTAAATCTTATTTCACACCAATAAAAACGGACAAGGTAAATGTTTGCTAACCACAAATACATCGCAGTATACTTGCAATTTAGTGTTTAGCCGATTATTTTACTTTGAATTATCATTTGATCGGGAAATACAAGACCACGCGCATGTTAATATCTGAATATTATTATAATGGTGGGTTAATGCAAGTGATCTCGGTGAAGCCACGACCTTGGGAAGGTTAGGTTGAGAATGGATATATTCAGTGATATTTACCTAAAGTTATTTGTACTAAACAAATAGGGAAGTCTTTAAAATTTTGATTTTAATTAACAACTTGTTCCATAGTCATTGATTGTTTGTTTCATTGTCAGATTGTGTTGATGTTGCTGTAAACACCACATGACCGACTTTTGTATTGAAGACTCCAGTGCGTGTGTCGCATTTCACAACATTAGGTGGATAAACAATGGATCTGATTCTGGCATTTACTAAACTTAAAGACCAATATGTATTCAACTAAATAAAAAAGCGGTTTTGATAAAACAAATTATTCTCAATCCAATCGTTGAACAAGTTTCTCTCCTACTACGCAGAGCACAAAAACAAATTAACCATTCTTTTTATTTTTTATTCGAAATAACACAAGATTTGTTGATCTCCGAGTGTGGTGTTTATTCAATACCAAAATGTAAGTAAATATTCCATATATTAACCAACTTCTGAACTTTAGGTAAATACGCATCTGTCCAACATCTGGTTAGGTAAGATTAGTTAAGGTTAGGTTAGAATGGGTTAGGTTAGGATATGGCGGTAAGTTTTTTCTTGATCTGACTAACAGATTGGTGTCCTTTGACGGCGGGCTTGGTGGCGGACTCGTTGGTGGCGTTCACCGACTTCACCTATACGGGAGATATACGCACGAGTTATGTACTTGTACACACAACTCTAACTACATAGTATTCACATGGTAAAACATGCTATCTTTTTAACATAAAAGTTTTATTATTGTTTTTTACTTATTTTAATGGTTGAAGACGATTTTGCAAACAGAAATATCATTGGGAGGTAAACAATAGTAAACTCATAAAATAAACTTTGGGAATGAAGACAAAGCTAAAACTCGTATGACAGTTTCAACGCAGTTATTGCTGCGGTCTCCACGCGGTTGTTGCGTTTAGAGTATCAGATTATTGAACCCTGTGGCGCCTCCAAATTCTTGAGTGTGTCAGACACAGAGCATCACCACTAGACAGCGCATACAAGGGCAGGACATAAAAAAATAAATATGACGTTTACAAAGACGGCGGCGTTACTCTGTTGCAGGACGGTGCACGGGAGCGTCCGTCGTTGTGCGGCCTATAGCGGGGCTGTTATATAGTCACCTCGTAGTTAGGCTGCTGCGCTCGACGCTGCACGAATAGCGGGGGGCGGACCGGGGCCGCAGCGCATGTCGCCATATGCTGCTAGCGTTGCCACAGGACGGTACAGGGGAGCGTATGTCGTGGGGCGGGCTGTACCGGGGCTGTTATATAGTCACCTCGTTGTTAGGTGGCGGTTGGGGCGCGGGCTGCTGCGCGCGACGCTGCAAGATAAGCGAGTGGCGGTCCGTGGCCGGACGCCTGTCGCTGTGCTGCTAGCGTTGTCACAGGACGGTACAAGGGAGCGTATGTCGTGGGGCGGCCTGTACCGGGGCTGCTATATAGTCACCTCGTTGTTGGGTGGCGGCTGGGACGCAGGCTGCTGCGCGCGACGCTGCAAGATAAGCGAGCGGCGGTCCGTGGCCGGACGCCTGTCGCTGTGCTGCTAGCGTTGTCACAGGACGGTACAGGGGAGCGTATGTCGTGGGGCGGCCTGTACCGGGGCAGCTATATAGTCACCTCGTTGTTGGGTGGCGGCTGGGGCGCAGGCTGCTGCGCGCGACGCTGCACAGACGGCGAGCGGCGATCCGGGGGCGCAGCGCCAGCCTCCATATGCTGCTTGCGCTGGCGCAGGATGGTCCAGTCGAACGTGTAATCGTACTGGTAGTTCATCGTGCGGAACAAGATGCGGAACAACTGCCACGTGAAGAGAAAAAGAAACAAGTTCAAATACAAATGCTATTAGAGAGGAGAGCGACCTTAAAGACCCCCATACTAGCGTCTTCCGAACGTCTTCGGTGTGCCGGCATCCGCGTAATGCCGACGCGATGTCGCTGGCTATACATAACGTTGAGGCAGCGCTGGTATCGCGTCGTCAGTTCAAATTTTTTTTCCAGTTAGCTCTGGCAAAACGACAAGGCTCGAAAGACGTTAATGTGACGGTGTCTTAAATCGTTACATTTGCAATAAAAACAAATCAAAATGTCTAATGGAAGGCCAGAATGTCAACAATTCCAGTTCAAAAATATGTCCAAATCGAATATCACTATAACCTCTTTTTGATTTTTCACGCAGATCCACGGGGACGGAGACGAGCGTATCTGAGATTGTAGCCGATACTCATACCCACCTGTCTTAGATACATATAGTCAGGGACTTCATCGAAGGTCAACCCGCGGCAGTAATTTAAATACATGGCAAACTCGGCCGGGAATCCCTGGAAACAAACAAAAAGTTAAAATAAATAGAAAACAAAGTTAAAAGAAAGTCACAGGTAAACAAAATACTTTGTTGTTCTTTCTTAAAACACGAGCAAACTGAAACCTTATAAATTATATTCAAGCGACCGCACGTGACTTGGTTTCCGTAAATTTTTATTCCGTTAAGTTTTATAAGAGTACCACAGGAACCGTAAATTTTCCAGGATAAAAAGTATCCAGTCTCAATCCAAGTTAAAACTATATGCGTATTTAATTTCATCTAAATCCTTTCAAAAGATTTTGAGTGAATGAAACTTTCACATTAATAATATTAGTAGGATGAACAGAACAAGCTGTCTATACGTACGACCTGCGATGTGAACGTGGGAGTAAGCAACAGTCATATCAACAGGGGGCCATTCGCCTAACGGAAATGCATTGGAAAACGCTAACGCTTTCGACTTTATTATGTTATTTCTGAATCCCGAAGGTTTTCAAATACCATACGCTCATTGTTTTTAAAATTGTTATTACCAATGCCAAAGAAATAAAAAGAGCCCGAGGCATTTGAAAACCTCATGCGGCTAGAAATAACAAAATAAAATCGTAAGCATTTCCGTTAGGCGAATGGCCCCTAGTTCAGGCAGGTCGTAAGATAGTTGATGAGAAAAAATCTTGCTACCGCAAACTCCTATGTGCTTAGAATGGCACGTTGGCCGTTCTGGCTGCTTCTGAAGTCGGTAGCACCCACCAATTGGCACTGGTGGGTGACAAACTGTTTTTCCTGCTAAATACACATGTAGCATAATGTACGGTAACCACTGCGTTCCTAGACAGTCTGTTCAAACAAATGTGTGCGTGACAATGCATACGTCACCATAAGACGTCGCCCTTATTAGTGTTAACGTCTTGCCTCTCGCTTTCGTGCAATTAGTGGGAGTGATTCGTGAAGTGGGACGGAAGTGTGTAACAGGAAGTTTGGGAAGCGCGCGCTTTTGATTTGATTTTAGAACACAATGTTCAAATGGCTTATTCCTTTTGTAGTAGGTTTTATTTGTTTTTTTACCAATATAAGGCGAGGTTTCAAATGTTATACATCATACGCGACTAGTGTAAGGCTCGCTCGTTTTTTTTTGTTAAAGATCGTACGATAACGCGATGTGTTCTCGTCGTGCGATGATTTTAAAACATACCGATTTCTCCAGAAGTTTCCTAAATTACGCTCGTAAGCCGTCGCACGAGCACAGGCATTGCTTAATAACAATCGTACGATGGCTTTAATCGTACATCGTAAAGATACAAAAAAAAATATTAAAACTGCAATGAGAAATTAAAATCATGCTTCTATTCGGATTTAACTATTTCGCGTAAAATTGATAAGCCTTGACGAATTTATTTACCGTATTTTCAGTTGACACACATTTGTGACCTTGGACGGTGGGCGCGAGGTCACAGCGACTTTGCCAAATAGTTTGAACAATGAATGACGATAGAACGATGTTTAATTACTTTCCGATATGTGTACCGTACACATGCCAACAACTATGTAGTACAGAAATAGTTCAGTAGCAATGGTATTGCCAACATAAACTGTTATGTTATAGGCATAAACATCAACATTGATGATTATCACGGAATCGATTTTTATTAAGCCATCAATCAGCCTACAGATAAAGCATGCGGACCGACTGCATTCAAAATGCATGGCTGTAAAATAGCTGTTTAAGTACAGTTAAACCCCTTTTTTACTATGTTGCTTAAGAGAAAATAAATTATTATTTGATATTAAAAGTACTTGTGAAGCTCGAAAATGTACCATTAATTAGATTCATAAAGACGATACCAATACTAACAAATAAAAGAGGAAAGAACCAGCAGTTGGTAGTAATGAGTTGAAACTTGATTAGAAATTGACCAGTTCAGAGCAGACTCAGCTTCAAAAGTAATAATTGAATACACATAAAATAATAATTAATGTTTCTTTTTCTATCACAAGTCTCCTCCAATATTTGTTTGTAATTGACACAACTACTTTAAAACTGCCAACCACTTACGAAGTACATCGCTGCTTGCACCGTGTGCCCGATTGGACTTTTTCATAGTAAATAAATTTCTTAAAAGTTTAAATTTGTCTCTAATAAAAGTCTCAGAGGAGCTCGATGGCGCAAGTTGTTAGCGCGTTCGGCTGCGATCGTTGAATTTAAGCAACTTTCGCAGTGGTCGGTCATTGGATGGGTGACCAAAAATCTTCTATCTCGAGTTCCTCCGTGCTTCGGAAGGCACGTTAAGCCGTTGGTCCCGCAGCATCTGCAGTCGTTAGCACCCGCCAATCCGCAATGGGCCCGCGTGGTGGGTCATGGCCCTATCTCTCCTTATTCCATTCATAGGAAAGGCCTGTGCCCCAGCAGTGGGGTCATTAATAGGCTGATGATGATAATGATGAAAAGTCTCACCTTACAAAGCACCTCTACAGGCGTAGACATCTTCTTCTCGCTGATACGCTCGTACTTCTGCTTTTTAGTAATAGCCTTCAGGCCTTGCCACGGCAGTGATCCTCTGTGTAACAAAGAGACAAAAATTGCTTAACACAGCTTCAGGTCTCCGCAACTATGAGGCATTTAACAGGGTTATACCGCAAAGTATGAAACCGCCGCAATCACGCTGGGAGTCGGCGGAACAAAACAACAAAACGTTACTTCTGTCACGTACACATTTACGTTATGTTTACAAGCATTCTCACGCAGTTTCAAATGAATTTGTTTATTCGCCACGGGCGAGAGCGTCACGTGTCGTCAAAATCGATAACGGTAAGTTTGAGCACTTTTTTCCGTGGAAGGCGGGAGCCGCCCTTCTGGCTTCTTTTTATTTTGTATTTACGCAGAAAAGCTAAATGCTGTTTTCATTCCGTTTTGTTTTTTTAAAGGCAGGTTATAAGAAAAAACATTAAGTAGAAGAAACGTAAAAAGGAAGTTCTTTAGCGACTACATGATTGAAACTAGATAAGATAAACACAAAATTCATATTTATGTTTGCAAATAAAAATGAGTTCGCTTAGCACTTATAATCATGTGAAAAGACTTGATATCTTTGAAGATATCAAATATCAATGAGATTTTGAACACATTAAAAAAGTTTACTGAATATATATCTGCAATTTGAAAACAATAGCACGTTCGGCTCCTACGTAGTTACGCAATCGAAATTTAATTTGATATTCAGCCACTGGAATTTAAAATGTATTGAAGAATTGCGACGTTGAAGAGCTTCTGAAATAAGTCTTGCATTAATTGTCTTCGACGATTCTCCTTTATATCAGCAGTTCCTTATACAATAGGTTACTCTTTTGTTCTTTCCACTCTAATCACAGTTCTTCCGCAAAAATAAATAATAAACCGTGTTTCTTTACCTTCTCGGAAAAGTTATATGATTTGATAGAAAATAGGCAGCCACATAGTGGAAGAAAAAGGTCCTTTTGTTCGTAATTAGACAAATTAAAATAAAAGCAAGACTTCTAAGGCTCATCACGTATATATAAGTAAAACTGTTCTGAAAATGTTTATATTATTATGTTACATATTAGAAGATATTTTGTTTCCGAATTCTTTATCTCAAAAGTCTTCGCCAACTAAGGCAGAAAAAAATCAGTCTCGTGTACTCAATTAGTTGCTACGTCACTATGAATATAAATATATGTACAAAAGTTACTGCGTATTGAATGGGTAATGGGGTCGTTACGTGAGTCACCGATACTGCGATATTGGTGATTCACTAACACATGCGCTCGCTGGAGTACTTTCGTAATGCCTAGCTTAAGCAACGAATTTGGGTCTTTGAAGTTCAGACGCACTAAATTAAATTTTATAAAAAACAGCAACATTAGGAGTTTTTATAATTACGAGAACGAACAAACGATATGAGAAGGAAAGTCAATCATGTAAGTAATATTAAAATCTATTACAAAAATAACAGTCAAAGTTACAGCTTAATATGGATACTTGGATTTAAAATTAATATTAAAAAAAAAGGAAAAAAAAAGTCTTGGGACTTGGAGTTTGTTAGGTATTGTACTAAACCTACTTACATTTTGTAAGTCATCATTATGGAGACATTTTGTGTTCGCAGCGGTTTAGGAGGGAGAACGGAGCGCCACAAGGAAAGTTCTTTTACCTTTTTGCTTCAAACAAACATTTTATCAATACGACTACTACCTACATAAGAAATATAGCTTACCTATTGAAATACATAAGTACGTAGCCGAGTGACTCCATATCGTCACGTCGGGACTGCTCGATACCGAGGTGAGCGTTGATGGACGCGTAGCGCGCCGTGCCTGAAACAACGACGTGGAGTTAAGTAAACAAACTCAAAAAATAACTACATATATAGTTTGTGTAAATACTTAGCGGCAAATTTCTTAAGGTAAACCAAAGAAAAATAAACATGCGCAGTAGGTACATTTTGTGTGTAAAATTGCAGGTCTTCAGTTGTTTCACTCCACAAGCTCCGCGGGGCAAATCGCCAAGTACTCTTTTTGCATGCATCCATGCATCGCTCCTTAGATGCGGGGCGGAACGAACAATTCAGAAAGAGTTCATGGTCGGTTCACACCGCGGGGCGAACCACTTGTGGGGTGAAGCGACCGAAGACCCAAAATTGCTATTCCTCAAGCTCCGTTGTCTGTGGTTTATCACAAGAAGTCTAACGGTACCTCTACTTTAAAACAATAAAAATATCACAAAGTGTGCTTAGATAGTGTTGATGCAAGAGAAAAGTATGATCGTTCATTTTAATGTAAAATAAAATCCAAACCACATTCATATGCAATGTGCTTAGTTACTTTTGAATGTCATCATCACCCTGTTGATACCCCAGGTTGTTGCCTGCATTGTTAGGGGTGGACCACCGTTATCACTTAGGGGTATGAAAAATAGATAGTAGCCGCTTCTCAGACCTATTGAATATGCATAATATAAAAATTCATAAAATTTATTTCATATATTTATTTAGTCAAACAGCTTGAGCTAGGAGGAGTATGGTAACTAACATTGTGACACGAGAATTTTATATAAAGAAAACTTGTTTTACGTGTGGATTCACGCCTGTGTTACAAGTGCGTCGAGGTGTGAAATCTCTTTTTTTATCATTGTTTGGTAACGCCATAGTTTTATGTAAATATCGTTGAATGCGGTCGAGTTTCTTGCATGCAATTTTCTCATTTGCGAAACTTGAAGAAATGTTGAATATGCTTCGATATGGGAATATTTTTGTTGTCTATTACTTTTATCAGTTAAGTAATCATTTGAGTTGACCTAAGACATCATACCATACTTCTATAAAGGTCAATGCCTAATTACGAAATCTCAAAAAGCAGACGAAATTAAGCAAACCGATTATTATGAGGAAGTTCAATAGTTGTAAAATGAGAGATAGTAATTTTCGCGAAATAGAAAGTGTTACTGTGGTTGTAATTTGGATATTTATCCTCTGAAAGCTTAAAACGGGGATTGAAAATGATAGTTAGTCCGGACAAGTATATTTAAAAAAAAACATTGTTATCAAAGTTCTATTTTTCTTCAATGGCAAGAAATGTTGGTTGAGTTAGTTGGAAACTACGCAATTGCAAAATCGTTCGAAAATTTTTGCGAGAAGTTTTACGCAATACCTTTATGCGAAGCCGTAGCGCGAATATTACGTAAATCTGTAGAGACAATACGCTGCGCTGTTCAGTGTTAATAAAACAAACTTTGGTTAACTTTCTGAAAAACGTTTTGAATAAAAAGGTCTGTATATTTATTATACAAAACAAATTGCACGCTTTAAAAACAAAGTTACGACTAACTTGTTCGTTCGAAGAATTACAAAACAATAACTTTCTGAAAAACATTCGTATAAAAGGGCTGAATTTTTCTTATACAAAATAAATTGCACACTTTAAAAACATGGTTACGACTAACTTGTTCGTTCAAGAATTACAAACTGGTTAACTTTCTGAAAATCATTCAAATAAAAGGGCTGAATATTTATCATGCAAAACAAATTGCACGCTTTAAAAACAAAGTTACCTACTACTACCTTGTTCGTTCAAGAATTACAAAACAGGACAATTGCTTAATGTTAATTTACAAAACCAACACATGCGAAACGTTTCTTGTTGCGTATTTTCTAAACTTTCTTCGTAACACACATGCGATATTAAATGGACAAAAAATTGTGGTTTATTTTTAAACTTGTCAACCATATTCTTACTTTTGCTTGTATTGATTGCAGCTGTGTAAAGATATTCCACAAAGAAATATGAAGATTTTGTCATATTTTCTATTGCCAGACATGTAAGCCATGCGTCGGTGTAGCACCTCAATTATGTATTTTTTATTATCAAAAATCCATCTTTCTAAGAGAAACGAGTCATAATTTCACAACGCAATTGTCTACTGGGATTATTTCTGTTTTTGAGTGTACATTAATGAAACCACGTCGCTATCTGCAACTATTTTGTTATAATAAAGTATAACTTATGTTTTTATTTATTATTAAGCATTTGACTGCTAGATGTTTAAATCTAAAGAAAAGTTTTACTAGAAAAAAATCCACGCGGACCAGGCAGCGGACGGGACTCGAACCCGCACCCTTCGCAATCCGGGCGAATGCTCTGACCGCTGATTGGATTGGAGTGGATTTTTTTTTCTAGTAAAACTTTTCTTTAGATTTAAAGTATAACTTTCTATACAGTACAACTTAGCTTAGCATAGCTTAACCAAGTGACAGTACTTTTTTTAAATACATAATAATTCTAAGTCACCATACTTTAAAAGTGGTGACATCTTAAAAATCTAAAGCGGCTTTGTAAAACGTGTCAGTAGGGCACTTACAGTGTTGCAAGAGCGGTCGAATGGATAGTGCTCCATACTTTACTGCAGTCGTCCTTGTCAGATCTCGTTCCAGTTGATGACGCTGCGTGACGCCGCAGACACACCTTTAGCTGGGCACGTTTTATCTTGTGGAATGACGTGACGCGTAAAGTCCGTCACAGACAAGCGAATATCGCGAATCAGAAATCAAACTTCAAGATTCCGCGGAGGACAAGTCCCTGAATCGTGAACAAAATGGCGGCCGAGAACTTATAACGGACTTAATGCACGCGATGTACGAATATTTGTTACACGAAAATTTAGAGAAGCGCACGCTATGGAAATATTCTGAGATTACGTTGTTTGTAATTAACATAAAGTTTAACAGAAAGAGCACACACGTTTTGAAAGAGAAACCTGGGTGCATATCTTTAAATCGCATCGAGCGCGCAACGCGAACTAATGTTGGCTGTGCTGTGTGCGTTGCTGCGCCTAGTCATTCGAGTTTTATTTTTTCGGGGACTTTCTTCATACTTTTGTCATGTCCGGTGTCTCGGTGTCCTCGGTTGTTCGGGGGACTTTTTGTACCCGGGTCTCTTAGTTACTCGACGCAGTTGTAAGCGATCTATTGTGGAGGATAAGAAAGAACGCAAACAGAAAAGTCTGCAGACAAGCGTCCCTCGTCTGCGCAGGCCATTACAGACATCTGCCAGACTTTAGATCCTCCCCGGCTTTACACGAGTGAAAGTATTTTGTATTCGGTCCCATAGTTTTGTTTATTCGCTACAAAAATAATCCTCTCCATATTTATTATTATCATTTTTAGATAACCAACTGCAGAGCTGATAACCATAAAAAATTATAAAGAAAACATACAAATGGACGCGTTAAAAAGCGCAATTTTAATGTAAACAACTGATCGCGTAAGGTCGATTCTCGTTCAGCATTTATGAATCTATTCATAACCGTGCGCGCCCACGGATTCGCGACGTTTCTTTATAAACAGCTAGAATATTCAAGTCAAGTCAAGCTGTTATATGAGTCCCAATGTTTTGCACGAATAAACTAACTTTCAATACCAGTTTCGGTAACGTAATATGGAAGATTTGCGAAGCGATGGTAATTTCTGTAATACATTCAAATCTAGGTCAGCGTAGTACTATATTTTTTTTTAATTAGGGACTGCTAGCAACATTCAACAATGAAAAACTTTTACTGAACAGCTTCCTAAGAAGCCTTCGAAGTTACCAGCAACGATCTTACCCCAGTTTTCAACAAACAGTCAAGTTATTTTATTTTTATTATGAATCGTGGCCTTTCAATGTAAGGTTTAACTTGAAGGAATGCAGATATTATTTAAAATATTAATTCATAGTGAAAATTATGACAAAAGTAACCATAGATTACTCGACTTCATGGAACATGTACTATGAGAAGGGAAACTGTAATGGAGCGCATACCTTTAACGAAAGCTAACTTTTAATGAAGAGACAAAATTAAGGAACAAAATAACCGCGATTGGTAAACTATACTTAGGTGGTAGCCTAAATACAGTTAAGCCACGCGCGTCCTACCGTAAAATGAACGTCACAAACTTGACGAGTACCGTGGGAAGTATTTATTTATTTATAGTACCATACAAGTAAAGTAGGCAAGAGACTGTTGCGTGCAACATTTTTTTCCCATCATGCATAACGTTACTATACTTTTCATATGCACTGTAAACCTTTTTACACACCGCTAGAAGTTTCAAAATTTTATGTTATGTAGTTCAGCGCAAAACGAATATGGAAGCAAATTCTTTTGTTACTAAGGCAAGATTTATTTTATATAACGACGATGACGACCGCTAAGAAAGGATTTTGATCAATTCTACCCCCAAGGGGGGAATAAAATAGGGAATGAAAGTTTGTATGAAACTTTGTCAATTTTAAACCAATCGGGCTGAGACTTTGCATGCATATATAAGAAGAATCATAGATGAATGTATTGTTGTATAATACAAGCCTGAGAACAAAAACTGTAGTCTACACTTCAGCTCTACACCGAAGCGAAGCGAGGGCGGGACGCTAGTGCTTTTATATGTACAGTTCATATATGTATTCTATCCGTTACCCTAGTATCCCATAACACAATCCTTACAATACTTACTTTGGGGTTAGGCTAATTGGTGTGAGTGTTGGAAATATTTATTTATATAGCGAACAAGCAAATGACTACACCCGACATAAATTCATGTGTGAGGCGACCAGTTGGAGCTCGATGTCGGTGATATCCGTTCGTGTTTGGTCTGCGCTCGTGGTAATTAAGCAACGTATTGGTTGGTCGTTGGATGGGTGACCAAGTACTTTTTATATTGAGCTCCAACTTTATTCGGAAAGCACGTCCAGTCGTATGTCCTGATTGTAGCTGCAATTTTCACTTCTGGAGTGATATTCTCTTCAGTACTTACCTGTTTAGGATAAAAGGTGCAGGCAACGCGTTGAATAGTACTCACTGGTATCGCTAGCGTATATATGCTATAGGAGTATCAGGGCTCTATTTCAGAATAGTAAATACCTTGTATTCCAGCAAAGTGAAAAATACCACAGTACTTATTTTATGAAATAGGGCCCTAATGGACCATAAGCTAGTTTATCCTCTTTTTTAAGATTAAAAGACAGTTTCAATAATAATCAAACTCCAGTGAAAGGTAGACCTACTCGAGCTTTGTTGCTAAGATATTTTGATTATTAAGAGGGGAGGCCAGCAATTTTTTTTCCATACAAACGTTCTCGACTGATTCCTCCTCGATTTTTATCATTAAACAATTGATTTTCATTTTTAAAATATAATTTAACTCATTCTATGCTCAGATGTCTTCCATTTTCCTATAACTTGTGTTAAAGAAACTATAAGCCTTCATAAAAGGTCAAAAATAAACAAATTTTTAGCACCAATAAAGACGTCTAGTGTAGCAAATATAATAAGCATTTAGAAAAAGTAAAACATAGAGGCATGGTTATTATTCTGTGTGTAAAAAAATATTTTACATTCATCTAATTTTCGAGGAGGAAATCGTCGAAGCCAAACCTCGAATTTTACAACTTTTATACGCAATTTTCATCAACGTTAACTACTGTTGTCCCTATCGCACAGTATTTGCCAATGCGTGACAGCAAGCCTTTTTTCAAATACATACCTATTTCTCAAATGTCTCTCAGCTCGCGTCCGCTCTTAAGCCGGTAGCAACAACCGTTGTTAAGAAACGGAACCAAATTATTCTTACCTTCTACCGGAGGTTGTTTATAGAAACAGGCCGTAAAAAGCATAGCATCTAAACTCACCTGTCAAATTTTTATCTTCGCGGTAGGAGATGTGGGCGCGTGTGCGCATATCGCGGTATTTCTTGGCGAGGCCGAAGTCAATCATGTAGAGCTTATTGCAGTGGCGACCGATGCCCATGAGGAAGTTGTCGGGCTTAATGTCGCGGTGGATCAGACACTTGCAGTGGAGGTACTCCACGCGGCTCAGCATTTGATCTGGTGAATAAGTAAGGGTATGAACACTGGAGTCACAAGCTATGGAAAAAGCGCCTTGTTGACGTGGAGATAAAGCTTTGAACGAACTTCTAGTTGAGGTTTTCGAAAGAGGCGTGACTAATCTATCTACTGGGTTAGCAGCACATCTAATGCGGCGAAAATCATTTGGTCACTTGAAAAGTATAAAAAATATGAAGACTAAAAAAGAAGTTGTGGATTGAACAGAGCTCTCCATTGAAGATTGCCCAAAAGAAAGTACAGCATAGGTTTCTCCATAAGAGGAGTGAAGTTACTATAGGGTCGAAACATTTTACATTAGGTATATAATTCATATGTCATTTCAGTTTAACGTTATCATATGCTCATTAACAAAGTGATTCTTCAATCAAAAGTAAAGTACCTGCAAGCATAAGCACTGTTTTCACTGTGAAGAGTCGCGAGCAGAAGTTGAAGAGATCCTCCAGAGATGGACCCAGCAGGTCCATCACGAGGATGTTGTGGTCCCTCTCGTAGCCAAACCATCTGCAACAAAACACCACATTACAGTTCTGTCAAACAATTAGTCCAATGATGTTATGTCATATTTATTTGAAGAAGATAATATAAATAGTACTTGTTGCTTAAATTACTTCAACGAAATATTGGTGTCCTTCACTGGAGCATCGATAATGAGATTGATTTTAGCAACTACCTACCTAAACACTAAACTTTTCATAAAAGTAGATATTTACTATGTTATGGCCTGTGTCAATAATTAATCTGCAGCAAGAGCTCCAGGATAACTGGAGAGAGGTGGCAAACACGACAGGACAAGTCGATGTTTACTTATATCAGAGCTCAAGATCCATTTAGGGCTGCTACTACGCCAAGATAGGAGGAAAAAGAGAAGCCTTATTGAACTTAGTTGCCAGATATTTTTGTTAAGTAATTCAGAATAACAACTATATAGCTAAGAAACATAATCGTAATATTATAAGTTAATCGTAATATCTTTAACCGTATGTACACTTCGTTTCTTCAAATCCTGGATATATCGCAAATTACCGAACATTATTATTGTTTGCAATCCCTACTATGGGCAGTACTTTTATAAGGACATTTATTCCCTTTTTCGGTTAAGATGAAATCTTTTCCTCATCTTTTCCTTTCTTGTCTTTTGTAAACGATTGCGTTATAAATAAAAAGCTCTATTAACTCGTTTTCGTGAATAAGTTTACATTGAATACGATCCCGACCTCTAAATGTGTGTTTACATAATTCATCAGCTCTTCGTATAGGCGACTATACACTTCAATAATGCAAGTATCATTGGATCAAAATAATTTTCTATAAATAATAGTGAATTACCTAGTAATAATTGTTTTGCCCACGTATCACCCTACCCTACTAAAGTTACCGAATGTAACCTGTTTATTATCATTTGCTGGTGAAATTTAGCATCTGTATATAACAGTTCTCCGGAATTGTCAAAATTAAGATTAAAGAACAGGCAGGGTGACACTGCGTCGATTGAAATAACGCATTAGTAACGCACTTTTCCCTCAGATATTTACCGTTATTACAAGATACTCTACGCGTCGACAGATACCGTAACGGCGCTCACTACAACAATATTACATAATTATGCAGTTATGATAAGGTTAGAAAGAGTTCAGGTCTATAGAACAGTGGTCATTTTTTGGTAGGTGATCGAAGATTCATTATCTCTTGCGTCTCCGTCATCTTCTTCTTTTTTTTTTATAGACAGGTCCAGTTAGTCGGTGGCAACGTATGCCAGCGCGCGTGGTCCTCTGAGGGAAAGGAGAAGGTGCTTGGCTAAGTGAAGCTGTTGGTTCTGGCTGCATCTGTAGCAGTTAGAGCTCGCCAATGCACACTGGGCTCGCGTGGTGCTTTATGACACGACAGGCCTATTACATAAGCAATAGAAACTTGACCGACGCGACCGCAACGTGGCTGTTTCTGATATATATTTTTTTGTAAAGCAGGTGCACAGCGCGGGGGTCTATTTTATGTAATTTCATAGAGCAGGGCTGCGAGACGCAGGTCGCCCAGTCCTTAAGGAAGCGGACGCGTTAAATTAGCAAATGATAACAATGAGACACCTTTACACACGCACGTTCTACACGCCGACAGATACCAAAACAGCCCATAACACTAGAACCTTAAGAATATTACCTAATAATGCACTGAAAATATTGAAATAATATGAATAAGGCAGCAAATCAAAAATTCCATGCTATTAAACCTACAGCTATTTTATATCATTGTTAGTGACAAGATCAATACAAAAAGTAAGTCACTCACAGTCCCTACCATTACTAAGAATATAATTGCATCAACTTGTTTGTTTCACTAGTTTTCTTTTCATTTTTATCACATTACATATGCCAGTTGTGCAATACAATCACCTATCAAATGCTGGCACTTTAGGTACATGGCTATGTTTGTCATTTGATATAGGGCATGATGGGAGTATGTATATTGTTGTCAAAATTACAAATAACAAATATTAAAAACCATATCAAGTGCTAGCATAAAATGTAAATAATTTTATTTGCAATGCATAATTTACTATTAACTAAAAATATATGTAGATATAAATCCATCTGTTACTTATTCAGTTGTACTTGTATTAGAAAATAAAATATTATCAAAATCAACAAAAACTAGCTTGCAGAATTTTTACCCAACATAAATGCAATTTAACCAAAGAGTCTCATGAAAGTCATCAAAGTGTCGCCTATTAGCACAAAAACATTTCAGAAGAAACTTTCATATGAAGTGCCTTATTATTACTTTTATCTGTTTTTATTAAGTATTGGCTATATAATGAATTCGCCATTGGACAAAGATACACAAAAATAACTAAAGGTTTGAGCTTTATATTTACTTAATATTTAATTTACATTTCATACTTTTATCAAATTCCTTAAGTTGTGCAAGTACCTAAACTTGTACTTTACTCAAGGGCAGTCATGGGTCTTAAAAGAAATTCCATGTTACAAAATATTCAGATAATGACATTTAAATTATATCATTTGAAAATAATGTAATGATCATTAGTTAATAATTAACCTTAAGTGACTTCCTTTAACTACACTTGAAATCAATTTTGTAGTCTTTTTAAATACAATAAGTTATATTAATAATAATGAAAAGTAGCTATCATAATAAAATATCTATTCTATGTAACCAGGAAACAATCAAATTTCCCAACTAAAAGAGTCGCATCGCCGGCCACACGCTCGCTTTGCTCGCTCGGCTCACGCTAAGTTTAGGTCACAACACTAACTTAACTTACCCACTGTGAGCTGGTCAAACATTCATTAGTCTGTAGTTCATAATAAAATACATCAAAGAATTTAAATCCAACTGGGTAGGGTAGGCTAGGTTAGTTTTGGTTAAGATAAATATATGCCATAATCAGTTTATTTTACACATTGCCGGTGAACCAGCAGCTACTCTATACAATCCCTAGATATTGTTTACATTTCCTAGGCAAAGTATAAAATGAAAAATGAATTTTTAATAATTTATACATTGCCTAGTTGCCCCAGCCATTCTATACATTGCCTATAGTATATTCATTCAAATGAGACAAAAGGTAAACAAATAAAATATTTCTAATTTTTTTTTTATTGAGAGTAAAGATTGGTGTAAACAGAGTAATAACAAAAATTCACATTTCAATGTAAATTATTTACAAACTAGTAATATTATAATGCAATGAAAGTTTGGTAATAGCCTCAGGTATTTTTAGTGTCATGTTTGTATTTATGATTTTATATGCTTATAAAATATGACCTATTGAAAAACCTTTTTATGGTTTGTTTACTTTATGTCTTAGAGGAAGTTGCATAGATTATTGTTATTGTTCAGAATACCTCAATTACACAGATTGTGACATATGTAACAAATACTCAGTTAAATACACAAATAATAAGATCGTTACTGCCCTCCTCAAGTTAAAACATGGCTAAACGAAAAAAACAACTTTTGAGATATGGCCATAAAACGGTGTGCAGATTTTAAATTATTGCTATTTTGAAACCAATCATTACACAACGGAATTTTAGACAAACTTTAAAAGATACAAATACCTGTTAAAGACAGATCGATAGAGAATTAAAAACTGTATAAGATGCAATTGCAGACTGAATCAACCACATGTCATTTAGCCGCAATTTAGTTTGAGGGCGGCAGGTTACTTTATCAGGCTAGACTTACCTTTGAAAGCTCATAAAATTGCTAATATTCAAATCAGTCATTAAAACATGATTCATATGGCAAATTTATTTAACTAACACTTATTGCTACACACTAATAGAAATCATTTGCAATTAATTCGCTTATTGCATAAATAATAAAATAACAAAAGGGTAAAATGCAAAAAAATATGCTATACATTAAAAACTGAGGTGAACATCCACCAGGTAGTATGAAGTGAAGAGAGCTACCGTGCCGCCCTCACCAGAACTAAGTAAGGGCCTAGGTATCACTGACAATCCCCTTTGCAGAGCATGCACGGAGGCAGAGGAAAATAATGAAGACACTAGCGTCGCCTGATCTGTGGGAAGTATCTTGGGGCACTTACAGACGCTCTGAGAAAGATTCATCTGCTTCTAGAGGGAGGTGGGCTGACTGGAATAATCGGCAGCCATGGCTCACATACAATGGTCCATTTTTAGAACTAAGTGCGGAAACCATAATCCTTGACATAGAACATGGACCACACAGAAATAAGTGAATTTTTAATTAGATTTGTTACTCACCTTATATGAGGTATTCCAATGCCCCCTTGGAGCATCTTATATACTCTGCTCTCATAGAGAAGTTGAGGGTGTCGTGCCTTCGTAGACTCAACCTTCACAGCCACCTCCTACAACAAACAATTCATTCATTAAAGTCAATACTTCTAATTATTTAAAAGTCTTACAAAGCTTTTAGGAAATACATCCATTTTATCCGTCAATTAATAACAGATAGAGAATAAACATTTTTTTATTCATTTATTATTAAATAATGGTTCAGCAGTTCTAAATAACACAACAAATGATGTTACAAATGGAAGTCCAGACTGCAATAAACACAAATATTATGCAATTCATACAGAAACAACATTGTAAGTTTAACTGGAGTCTTAGTACAATTAATATAGTTAAATCTTACTTAATCATGATTATTTTTTACATGTATAAATGATTTATATCCTTCCATAATTTTTGTTTCAGGTAGTTGTACAAATTTTTAATGTAGGTATGCTGTTACTTCCACATCATAACACTTACATTTTAATGGAGTTATCTATGCTAATTTGAGCCTCAATTTGCTAAGCAAGGTACCTACTTCACCTTCAAGACCTGGGTAGTTATGATATTAAAATACCTAAACTGTAGAAGAAAATATTGCAAGATTTTGAGCAGCCATTAATAATAACCAAAACTATCAAACAGATTTAAACCCATCCACGGGAAATTAAGCAATAGGTACCTACGCAAGAAAAAGACCATGACAAAGGAATCCTTTCACATGTTCTCAATAGAATTATCAAATGCTGAAGCCCTAATTTAATCAACATCCGTATTTCAAATACGATTGTGTAAAACCTATTTTCAAGAGGTTGCAATATAGCTAGAATATTATTTTTATAAAAATACAGGTCCAGACCGCCATTTTCATGCACAATTCCCGAAATACAATCGGGTACCACCAATGAATGACAGAGTTGAAATAATCAAAAATTAACGTAAAATTACCACTCCATCGTTGATATGTATTGCCAAATAGATTTCCCCAAAGCTTCCACCGCCGATTTTGCGAATAACGCTGTATCTCTCAGCTATGACTACTTGTTTCCTGGCCATCAACATGCGATCGAAGGTAGCCATTTTCTTTTTCCTTCATAACTCGTAGTCACAAAAAGTAAGAACTGCTCATCGCTTTATGCGAAGTTAACACAACACTACAGAAATTTAAAGTTTGCTATTGTCCAAAAACACGATAAAACTTAAAAGCACGCTGAAAGTCCACCGAATACTAATTTATTGCGAAGTCTAAAAAGATGTCGTCAACCAATTTATCGTGACGTCACAGTGGCAGTGATACCAGTGGCGACGTAACTAAAACTACCAACATGAACAATAGTAGAAACTACTAAAGGTAGAGATTTGTTTAATTTCAATTTTATTTTGCGTTTTACATTTTGTATGAATGAATAGAACAAAAAGGTTTAATCTAAAATTAGAGATCTAGAACGTGAACTAAGAAATTTAGCCTTGGCATTAGCAATGCCTTTGAAAATTGTTAAAATATTCGGGACAGGATGCAACACATACCAAAAGGACGTGTACACATTTAAAAAAAAAGAGGAAATTAAATTACGGGCTATTTGAGGTGGGGAAGGTGACCTTTAAGGAGGGAAACGGTTTATTGTGTTTTTCAGAAAAGCTACAACTTCTATCGAAAAAAAAACCATTGCTGAATTATAGATACTCAAAACATCACTAATACAACTTTTGTATATTTATGTTTTACCCAAAATTGTTATTATTATATAAAAAAGAGTTACCTAATCTAATTATTAACCGCAATTAAAATTTTCTTTAAAAACGCAAATCGCGATTCTCGACCTTTTAATGAGGGGGAACTGAGTTTACCGCGGCTTTTTGGGAAAAGTACAACTCCTATCGAAAAAAAATCAATAGCAAACAAAATTGTCTGTCTGATGGACGTCCACTGCTGGACATAGGCCTCTTCAAGGGATTTCCATATGGAACGATCCTGCGCTCTCCGCATCCAGTGGGTCCTCCCGACCAGCTTGATGTCGTTAGTCCACCTTGTGAGAGGTATACCGTCGAGCTATGTGCCCCGTCCATTGCCACTTCAGCTTGGCGATCCGTTGAGCTGAAGTGGCAATGGACGGGATGTCGGTTGTTCTTCTACGGATTTCCTCATTTCTGATTCGATCACGTAGAGAAACACCGAGCATAGCTCTCTTCATCGCTTGCTGTGCGACTCGGAGTCTTCTTATGAGGCCCATAGTTAACGACCAGACGTACGTAGTACGTTTTTAATAGAAAAAAAAACAAGATGTTTATTTTGATATATCGAAAAAAAAATTAGGCTTTGTGAAAAACTTTTTGACATAATAAGTTTTCACTACATTTCGTGAAAAAAAAAATTGTGGGAGAATGATAATTTAATTCAATTCAATATTCGCAAGTTAAGTCGCAAGCTACGCCATCGGTTCGCAAATCTAGGCGGGAGGCCTTGTACTGAGAAGAACCGGCAAGAAGCTTAGCAAGGGCTGCTTTTTCTCCCTGTTTTATTTCATACATTGTCGTCAAGTTGAAAGCTGACATCAAAATTATAAACATGTATTGAGGTCAACTTCCATTACATAAAATAGGTAACACTAAATATACAAAAGCCCCGATATATCCAGTAAACAATTTTTTAAAAAATAAAAAAAACGAGCGAGCCTAACGGTAGTCGCGTATGATGTGTAACATTTGAAACCTCACCTTATAGAATAGTAAAAAAAGAAATAAAACCTACTACAAAAGGAATAAGCCATTTGAAATAGCGCGCGCTTTCGCGACTTCCTGTTACACACTTCCGTCCCTTCACGAAATCCCTCCCACAAATTGCAGGAAAGCGAGAAGAGAGATGTTACACATCAATAAATGAGCAAGTATATGAAAGAGACTCAGTGTAAGGTTCTCTTCAATGATCCTCTTGTGATAAAAATGAATCGTCGAGAAGTATGTATGCGCATAACTTGCGAACGACTGAACCAAAGTGGATAATTCTTTTCTTATTGTGTTCGTTATTCCCAGTCAAGGTATTAAAGAAGAAAGGAAAAAAATATGCTTGATTTTTTTTAAATAAAGTTTGTTATTCCGCCATCTCCGTCACTCTCCGGTCTTAATATTGGTCATTCTCCCACCGATGCATGCACAGGGGTGAACATGAGATGTTTCACTGAACATGAGATGAGAGAGAAGTATGCAATGACATAAATGTTTGCGTTACGGTGGGTGGGCCAGATCTATTAATTGCTTCGCGGCTTATTATTCTAAGATGGAATCAGTAGAACTCTGAAGGCATTTTTAATATCATTGAATTTGGCCACTATTCATGAGAATTCTAACATTGGATTCCTGGGGGCCATTCGCCTAACGGAAATGCTTTGGAAGACGCTAACGCTTACGATTTCATTTTGTTATTTCTATCCGCCTGAGGTTTTCAAATGCCTTGCGCTCTTTTTTTTCTTTTGCATTGGTAATAACAATATTAATAAAAATGAGCGTGAGGTATTTGAAAACCTTCGGCGGTCAGAAATAACAAAATAAAATCGCGTAAAAAGCGTTAGAGTTTTCCAAAGCATTTCTTTTAGGCGAATGGCCCCCTGGAATAAGGGCCATAATGTTAGATAGATTAAGGTGTTTCGGGGTAGGAATGATTTTAATGCCTAAAGATTTCCACCAAACAGTGACAGTTATTCCAAGATCGACTACTGCCAATAAAACAAGGGCATGCATATATCATTACAGCAATTTATGTTATTTACGGGATTGTTACCATGTACCTTGTTTTTAGAGAGTCTCTGATATTATGTATGTAGTTATTACTGTAATGTTAGTGACCATGAAAGTTTAAACCAATATAGGTATTGCCTCTATCAATTTGTAGCGCCATTAAATATCAGAGTAACATTGCTGAACGTTCAATCCACAAAAGTTTCTTCCAAACAATTGCTAACTATGGTAAAAGCTGTGTTCCTGTCGAATGGACAATTATTTTTTCCAATTTATTGTAAGCGATAGGAAGTACGTCGGGTCAGCAAGTTTTATATAACTTTGAAAATGATCTGTAGGTAACTACGACAGACATGCATATTTCCTATTCTGTTACTATCCAATGGATCAAGTGACACCATGTATCACGCGGTCACGACGCTGCGGATGTTAATCCGCAGTCAGCAGCGTCGGCGTGAAGGGGATCCGATACGACCCCAACAAGCGCCGAACCAATCATCCCCGTGCCGTTATTTATTAATTAATTTAATACGTGTACTTACAGCTAAATATATAAGAAACATTAAATATTCTAAGACATATATGCAAGCCTTTACACACAACATTCACAGTAAAGTACAATGTAATTAATAAATTAATTATAATAAATGCAATTATTAATCAATAAATAGAGCAATAAATAATCGTTGTTTAATTTAATATTAAAATGTTAGGTATAATATTTGTTTATTCAGGAGGCACACACTGACGACCTTTTATTTTATGTTTTTTCTTTTCGCGGGCCTGCTGGAAGAAATTTCAATATGAAATAAGCAGTGCCCTTATACAAATTTCTTGTTCCTGTTTTTATCTATTTTATTGTGTATGTACTAAATTAGTAAATAAAAATAAATAAATAATAATAATGCGGAATTAATGAGAATCGAGTAGCTCAAACAATGTTGCTTTAAAGTTTTTCTGCGAAACGTCAGACACATCCAAGTTGGGTGATTTGTGTTAATATCATTATAGGTATTGCAGATTTTGGCCCAAGGGTGATGACCAAGGTTAATTCTGTGTATAATCAAAGCAAAAGTTTACGTAAATGGTTTTCTTGGGAATTTACGGGGTACAGTGAAGTTTATTGAGTTAAGCAGATCAGGACACAAAATTTTATTATTTATAATTTTATGGAGAAATGTCAAATCAAGTATTGTTCGACGATTCCACAATGATGTCATACCAAAGAAAGCCAGTCGCATATTGTAAGGAATCCGGTGATGTATACCTGATGCTTTTAATACGCTAGATGTCTTGTGAAGGCACATTGAATGCTTTCAACTCTTTGTGATGCATTAGC